CCCCAGGCCGAAGTAGTGCGAGACCGTGGGCACCAGGAACTGGTAGAAGCCGTCCTGGAGGTCGATGGAGCCTCCCCACAGCTCCTTGGAGCGGCACGCGCCCCGAGCTGTGGCTGGCCGAGCCGCGCCGTCAGCGCCGGCGGCGTCCAGGGCAGCGGCGGCCACGTAGCCCGGGTCGTGGATGAGCGACCCCACGGCCCCAGCGGTGGCCAGCTTGGTGCAGGGCGCCCGGCGGTGGACAGCGTTCGCCGGCCTCGCGTCGAGGACGAGGCGGAGCTGCCCAGACTTCTTCTTGACAAAGAACATCCCGCAACGGGCGGCGACCCTCGTCCTGTAGCAGATGAGGCCGCAGTCGGCGAGCCTCTGCACGAAATCACGGAGGAGGCGGGGGTTCGAAGCCAGGCGCCTATCCCAGTGCGGACGAACAGGCTCGACTCCCTCCAGCTGGTCCTCCCCCAGGGCGATGAGCGACGGGTCGGCCAGGTAGCGGGCCGCGTCGGCGCCCACCAGCAGCCGGGCGTCCTTCGGGCGCAGCCGCTTGGAGGTGACGGAGACGCGGTCGGGGTCGCACGGTGCCACAGCCAGGGGCGCGTCCGCGTCGTAGAGGTCCTTTGCCTTGAGGAGCTCCGGCAAGGCGCCGGAAGGGAAGAGGTCGAACTCAAGTGGCCTCGGGCCCGCAGCCAGGGCCACGTCCGCGAGGCGCCTCCACGTCGCGAGCTGGGCGTCAGACAGCTCCCGCCCGTGGGGAAGGCGGCTGGGCCACACCGGCCTGGGCAGCCCTCGGGCGCGCGCGGCGGCCAGAGCGTTGAGAGCGGCGGCGGCATCAAGCTGCAACGCGCCCACTGCGCCGGCCTCCACGAGCTCCCGTCCCGGCGCTGAGCCGGGCAAAGAAAAGAATGACTTGGGCCGCGGGAGCGGGAACAGACCACGCTGCCAGCGGGAAGCACCACGGCGATCCATCCGAGCAGCGGCAGCGCCACTGCGAGGCAGACGGCCAGGTGCGAGGGGGGGAGCCTCGGTGGCCCTACTCGTTTTCCTTGCCGCCCTCCTTGCGGCCACTCTCCTCGGCGTAGAGGCGCTGCTGCTTCAGCGCGAAGGCCTACGTCTTCTGCTCGTCGGCGATGAAGCGGGCGAAGTCCCCGACCGCCAGGGTGGCGCCGCTGTCGAGGCGGCTGTGGACCATCATCTCGAGGCCCCGGCAGTCGGGGTTCTTGGGCGACTTCTTGGCCGCACGCTCGATGTAGAGCACGCGCCGAGCCAGCATCTCCCTCGCAGCACTCTGGAAGATCTCGAGCTGGTCGAAGCACAGCGAGTGGTGCAGCACGGACACGAGGCTCTGGCGATGCTTGGCCACGCCCGCCTCGGCGCTGACTCCCGACGACCTGGCCCACGCAGAGTGGTAGCTCTCCAAGGACTCTCCTGAAGCGCGGATCCCGCGTGGCAGCTCGAGCGACGCAGAGGGCCCACGAAAGGGCCAGTCCTTGGCCTCGGCCGTCGTCATCCCGTCGCGGCCCGTCTTCACGGCCAGCTCCGAGAGGGACGCCAGGCCCTCCTTGAAGTCGAGGTAGCGGGCGTCCCGCGAATCGCGGCTGATGGCGAGCACCCGAGGGTCGCAGCCGGCACCCGTCTGCTTCTCCTCCTTCCAGGCCGCCAGGTCGCCGGGGAGCAGCCTCTCGACTGCCACCCACTTCTGGTCGTCCATCCTGGCGAGCCCGCCATGGCCCCGCGACACGAAGCGCGCGGGGTTGGAGGAGGCGGCGACCTCGACGGTGGTGCCGAAGTCCTCGACGGCGAGGTCGGCAACGTACCAGACGGCTGCCGAAGCCGCAGCAGCAGGCGCAGCCCCACCCAAGGTGCTCGCCACGGCGTGTGCCTGTTGCATCAGGCCCGCCAGCTCGTCCTTCCCCAGCGGATCGAACCCGTAGAAGTTCCCGCGCAGGCGAGCCGGGATCGGGCACCCACGAACCAGCGGCACGATGCGCGACGTCGAGAGGTTCCGCACCAGGACGTCGTGGGTCGGAGTAGCATACACCCACCTGCCATCGTCCCCGATCTTCTCCAGGAGGATGCGGTGGTGCCACCTGACGCTCGGGTCGTGGTCGAAGGCCTCGGCGATCTGCTGCTGCTCGATATCGAGGGCCTGCGGGACGGCAGCCATCAGCGGCGACGCCGAGGCGCCCAGACGTCGGGCTCGTCGAGAGCAGCCAGACCAGGACCCCCAGCGTCCAGCGGCGGCGGCGCCGCCCGGCCCGCGGCCAGGGCGGAAGGCGTGGCGGGGCCCCCGAAAGAGGCCCCCGCCGTCGCCGTGCCGACCCAGCGGCCGTGGCGCCACAGGCGGCAGGCCGCCGCGAGACCCAATGCGAGGGTCGCAGCGGCCAGAGCGGCGGCCCACAAGGCCGAAGTCGCCCAGCCGCAGCTGCAGGCGGGGCAGGCGGCCGCCGCCGGGCAGGCGGCCAGCGAGGGGCAGACCGCCTCGGGGCAGACCGCCGCGGGGCAGATGCACGCCGGGCAGGGCGCCGACGGCGGGCACGACCGCGTGGGGCCAGGAGGGCGCCGGGCAGGCGCAAGGCGGGCAGTCGAGGACGTGCCCGCAGGAGCCCTGCCCCGCCGCCTCGGGCCCGGCCCACCAGCCGCCGGTGAGGCCACCGAGGAACGCCGCAATCGCAACGGCAGGGGCGTTGAGCGGGCCGGGCCCTCCCATCCCAAGCCAGAAAAGCTGCAGAGGACTCCGATGCGGACAGTGATAATGTGTCGCACTTTCAATCATCATCATCATCATCATCATCATCATCATCATCATCATCATCATCATCATCATCATCATCATCATCATCATCATCATCATCATCATCTTCGGTTGATCGCTGGCCTTGCGGCCCGCGTGCGCCCTTCCGCCGAAATGGCGGCTGGGCGTGCACCACCCTGGTTTAAAACATGCTCCGTTCTTAACCTGCGGGGAACGGGTTCACGGCTGTTCAGGGTGCTGCAGCGTGTGACTCGTCAATATGACGTGGCCCAGACGACCAGACGCGATTTCAGATGCTTTGTTTTCGTGGTTGTCGAGTGGGTGTTGAAAATCATCATCATCATCATCATCATCATCATCATCAGCAGCAGCAGCAACAGCAGCAGCAGCATCAGCAGCACCATCATAATCATCATCATCATCATCATCATCATCATCATCATCATCATCATCATCATCATCATCATCATCATCATCATCATCATCATCACCATCATCATCATCATTACCAGCAGCAGCAGCAGCAGCAGCAGCAGTAGCATCATCATCGTCACCATCACCATCACCATCACGATCACCATCATCATCATCAGCATCAGCATCAGCATCATCATCAGATCAGCCAGCGTTGACTCTAAATAGATAGGAGGACGAGAGGAAGGAGGATGGGAGGAGGACGAAAGGAGGGCGGGAGCAGGTTGGGAGGAGAACGGGAGTAGCAAAATCAAGCAAGCGCAAGCAAGCAAGCGGAAGCAAGCAAGCGAAAGCGAGCAATAACGAGCAAGCGAGAGCCAGCGATCAAGTGCAAGCAAACAAGGGCAAAGAAGAGCAAGCAAGCGAGAGCAAGCATGCAAGAGCAAGCAAGCAAGTGCCATTGGAAAAAGGGGGAGCCATTGGAAAAATGGGGGGGTCATTGGAAAAAGAGGGGGTGCTAAAGACACAACACTTATTTTATGATGAGCTAGGATCATCATAAGTAAGTGCTGTAAGTGGCATCATCATCACCATCATCATCATCATCACCAGCAGCAGCATAATCATCATCATCAGCATCATCATCATCATCAGCAGCAGCATCAGCATCAGCATCAGCATCAGCAGCAGCATCATCATCACCATCATCCTCATCATAATCAGAATCATGATGATGATGATCATCATCATCATCACCATCATCACCGTCACCATCACCATTACCATTATCATCCTCGTCATCATCCTCATCCTCATCCTCATCATCCTCATCATCAACCTCGTCCTCATCATCATCCTCATCGTCATCATCGGCATCAGCAGCAGCATCATCATCATCATCAGCAGCAGCAGCAGCAGCAACACCACCACCACCACAACCCCTTCCATTATTACCATCCGCATCTTCAACTGCAGCAGCAACCTCCTCCTCCTACTACTCTTCCTCATCATCATCACCATCATCATGACCACCACAACCAGCACAATCATCATGAGCATCAGCATCATTATCATCAGCATCAGCAGCATCAGCAGCATCAGCAGCATCATCATCATCATCATCATCATCATCATCATCGTCATCAGCATCCTCATCATCATCCTCATCATCATCATCATCATCGTCATCGTCATCGTCATCGTCATCGTCATCGTCATCCTCATCGTTGTCGTTGTCGTTGCCATCGCCATCATCGTCAGCATAGTCTGCAGCATCAGCATCAGCATCATCATCAGCATCAGCATATCAGCATCAGCATCTGCATCATCAGCATCAGCATCAGCAGCAGCATCATCAGTATCAGCATCTGCATCAGCATCAGCATCATCATCCTCATCAATATCATCGTCCTGCTCATCCGCCTTCACCTCCTTCTCCTCCTTCTCCTGCTCATCATCCTCATCCTCCTCCTGATCCTCTTAATTATCATCGTGCTCCTCCTCCTCATCATCTCCCTGCCTCTCTTCATACTTCTGATCCTCCTCCTCCTCCTGCTCCTCGTACTCCTGCTCCTCCTCCTGGTCCTCCTCCTCTTCCTCCTCTTTCTGCTCCTCCTGCTCCTCCTGCTCCTCATCGTCATCCTTCGCACCAGATCCCTCGGGCCCAGGTGTGCTGCCAGTCCCGGAGGGACCCCGCGGGAGCAGCAGGTCACGCCGCCAGCAGGCGGAGGAGAGCTGAAGAGCAGGAGGAGAAGGAGTAGGGAAGAGGCAAGAGGAATGAGGAAGGAGGGGAGGGGTAGGAGGGAGGGATAGGGAGGGACGGGGACAAGGAGACGAGGAGGCCCACTTTGATACCACCGAGCAGTGCGCCCGCTCTGATGCGATTGCGCGCGCGCGGGAGTCCATGGCAGCCTGGCCTGGCCTCCGCGGGCCTCCGAGGGCCGCCGAGGGCCGCCGAGGGCGCCGTCGAGGGCCGCCGCGGGCCGCAGGCCGGGCGAGCCGCCCGGGGAGCCCGGCCTCTGAGCGCGCGCGCACCCTGCGCGGTGCCGCCTGGCGCCGCTTCGTCGCGCCCGGCACGGCTGCGCTGCCCCCCAGGAAGGAAGGCCGGAGGGTTCCCAAGGGGGTTTTGGGGGGGAGAGGGGGCTCTTGGGGAGGGGTCCCCCAGGGGCTTCGCTTCGCACCCCCCGTCTTGACGGGGTTCCGAGGCCCCTGGGGGGCTCTCTGGAAAACCCCCTCCCCCAAAACCCCCTTAGGAACCCTCCGGGAAGGGCAGCGTTCGGGGGGATCGGCTCCGGGGGTGCAGCACTGCCGATGGATCGGCGACAGACCCCCGGATAGTGAAGCCGCACGCTGCTGGGCGGGACGGGGCCTCGGGCCCCAGTCGGCGATCGAGGGGCGGCTGGGGGGCGACGCATCCTCCCCTGAGCCCACTCCCCCAGAACGTTGCCCTGGAGGGGAGCCTGGCGCATGCCAGGCCAGCGGCTTGCCGCCGCGGACGGCCCGCGCGCCCCGCGCAGCCCCCCCGTGGAGCGGCCGCTAGCGCCTGTAGTAGCTGCCCCTGTCATACGCGCCGCCGCCGCGGCCGCCCCTGTCGTAGGCGCCGCCGCCTCCGCCGCCCGTGCGCGCATACTTCGAGTGCTGCGCCGGCGGCGCCGACGGCGGCGCGGGCCGCTTGTAGCCCTGGCCCGACGAGTAGGACGAGTTGCCGGCGTAGGGCGCGCCTCCGTAGCTGCCCGCTCTGCGGTCGCCGCCCTGGTAGCCGCCGCCGCCGCCGCCGCCGCCCTTGCCGCCGCCCTTGCCGCCGCCCTTGCCGCCGCCGCCGCTGGGAGGCGCACCCTGCGGCTTTGCTGGTGGCGCAGGACGGGTGAATTTGAGCTTCGCCGTCTCGTCGCCTGCGTCTACGCGACGCGCCCTTTCGCGGCGGTGCTCCTCCGTGAGCTTCACGAAGTGTGCTGGCGCCGTGTCCAGCTCCAGCACCGGCTCAAAGAAACCTGTCTTCTCATTGATGGTCACGTTCTCCTTGACGAGCTCAACAAAGTCTGCGATTTTCTCGACGCCGTAGTTTTTCAGAGTGAAAGTCTTCTTGAAGTACTTCGTGTAATAGAACGCGAGGTGCTCCTCCTTGAAGCCTGGCCTGTCCGGGTCGTTGAGGTCTTTTTTGAAGGAGTGCAGCAGCAGGTTGAACTCGTAGCGCAGGCTCAGCAGAGTCCAGTCCTCGTAGACGAAGTGGGCAAAGAGCGGCTCGCAATTGCCGAGGTCCGTGACGTCCTCCACCTCCATAGCGTCGATGTCCTCCGCGTTGATCTCCATCGGCTCCGCCTCCTCCTGCGCGGCCTCCTCACCCGCCTCCTCCTTTTTCTTCTTCGCCTCCTCCTTCTTCTTGGCGACCATCGCTTTCCGCTTGTTGGGGTCCCTCCATTCGCCCTGCTTCTTCCTCCACTCCTGCACAGTCTTCTGCCACTTGCTCCACTCCTCCTTGAACGACTCACCAGGCTGCAGATCCTCCACACGCTGGGTCATCTTCCTCTCGAAGACCCAGGCCTTCAGGTGCTCGGCGCAAGCCGCCTCTGGCTGCCAGGCGAAGGAGACAGAATCGAAGCCGTCCGCTGCGGTCGGCAGGGAGAACTGCGCGTAAAACTTGGCCAGGGTCTTCTCGCCGATGTCTGGCATCTCTCCCTTGCGGAACCATACCTTCTTCTCCTCCTCGGTGAGCACCACGGGGGCGTCTGGCTCCTCCTTGGGCTCCTCCTTAGGCTCCTCTGCCGGCTCCTCGGCCTTCTCCTCTTCCTCCTCAACCTTGCCGTCCTTTTTCTTCTGGGCAGCCAGCTTAGCCTTCTTGGCCTCCTCAGCTTTCTTCTTCTTCTCCTCCAAGGCGCGCTTGCGCTCCGCCTCCTGGGCCTTCTTCTTTTTCTCCTTGTTGGCCTCCGCCTGCTTGGCCGCAAGCGTCATCTCCTGGACCTTTTCCTTGAACTCCGCGGTGGGCTCGCCCATGATGACCGTGGCCGTCTTCTTGAAATCCGGGCCCGCGAACTTCTGGAGCATAATCTTCCGATCCTGCTCGGTGAGGTTCCCCTTGAGCTCTGGCACGATGTAGTTCCGCGTGTGCGTCGGGGCGATGGACAAGAGCACCCTCTTCACGCTCATGTCGTCCATCATCCCGATGTTGAACTTCATGTCGGGCTTGTCGTTGGAGGCGTTTGTGGTCTTCTGCTTCCACAGCCCGCTTTTGATGGCCCACTCCAAGATCTTCCGATCCGAGAGCTCTGTGTAGCCCGGGTTGTCCTTCAGGAAGGAATCCACCCAGTCGAAGAAGCCCTGCTCCGGCAGGCCGACGGGGAAGACCACCTCGCCCTGGGCGCCAGCGGGTGGGGCGAGCTCGACGTCGTCGGCGGCGGCGCTGGCCAGCGTGCGGCAGGCGAACGGGAGCTTGTGCAGCGGCACGGGCCCGAAGTTCACCTGCAGCGTCACGTTCTTGTACGCGACGGTGGGGTAGAGCGTCTTCCCGACCAGGGCCTCCGGCAGCGGCTGCGGCTCGGCCACTCGCACTCCGTCCCTGAACAGGCTGATGGTGTTGGCGTTGGGGCTGGCGGGGTCGAGGTTGACCAGCAGCGCCACGGTCTGGTCCCTGGAGAACTTCCCCGAGACCTTCTTCTTCGTCTTCTCGTACACCCAGCAGCCGTCGGAGTCGAAGCACACGCCCCCGGGGCCGTCCGGCAGGAGCAACGACGAGCCCGCCAGGGACACCCCCACGCGCACTGGGTTGCGCGCCCCGGCGCGGGCGGGTGGCTGCCCCTCTGCAGGGCTCAGGGTCTCGACAATCTTGACCTCGAACATGTACCGGCCCGCTCTCATGCCCGCCGTCGCCCGCGCGCCGGCCAGCAAGTACTGGCAGCCCCCCTCCGTGAGGGTCATGAGGAGCTTGCCCCCGCACGTCTGCATGACGTTGAGCGTCGTGTCCGTGGAGCTGATGGCGACCGCGCCGGCGTCCACTCGCGGCCTCGCATCCTCCGGTGCGTCCTCCTCGAGCTCCTTGGGCTTCTCTGGCTCCTTCGGCTTCTCCGGCTCCTTGGACTCCTCCTTGGCATCCTCTTTGGGCTCCTGCACAGCCTCCTGCTTGACTTCCTCCTCCTCCTTTGCCTCTGCCTTGGCCTCCTCCTTCGCCTCTTCCTTGGCCTCCTCTTTCATCTCGACATCTGCGGCGGTCTCCTCCTTCACCTCCTCAGAAGCCATCTCTGCGACCAGCGCGCGCGCGGAGTCTTATTGTGGGGGCGCGGCGAATCGCGACTTTCAGCCAAAACGGCTTGAGCCCAAATGGATACGGGCGAGGAGCAGCAACGGGAGAATGAGGCGAGGCGGAGAGAGAGAGGGAAAGAGAAGAGGTGGTGGAACAACTAGGCTGGCTTCCCGGCCCCCCCAAAACTAATAAGGATTTTGGCGGATTTTGGCCCTCGAAGACCCTGGAGTACGCGGCAACCCGCGGCAACCTCAACGGCATGGCTGTTGCGAGGCGTCTGCGCGGCAGCAGCGTCCAACGACGCGGATCGATCGCGGCCCTCGCGCGTAATCTGCGTTGCCCCAGCAAGGAGGCAGCGTGGCATATGCAGGGAAACAGCGCTCATACAGCATGGCAACAGCCAGGCGTCCGCATGGCAAGTGCATGGCCGTAGCTCGGCCACTGAACGACATACGTTAGGCAACCGCGTAGCAGTAGCACGGCAAACACACGGCAATCGGAAGGCGCTCGCACGGCAACACTACTGCAATCGCACGACAGTGGCATGGCAACTGCACGGCAACTGCATGGCAACACCGTGGCGACAACATGGCAACAGCATGGCAACGGCATGGCAAGCGCATGGCAACAGCATGGCAACAGCATGGCAACGGCATGGCAACAGCGTGGCAACTGCATGGCAACGGCATGGCAAGCGCATGGCAACAACATGGCAACAGCATGGCTTCAGCATGGCAACGGCACGGCCACGGCATGGCAAGCGCATGGCAAGCGCATGGCAACAGCATGGCAACAGCACGGCCTCGGCATGACAACGATATGGCAAGCGCATGGCAACAGCATGGCAACAGCATGGCAACAGCATGGCCACGGCATGGCAATAGCATGGCAACAGCACGGCCAGGGCATGGCAACGACATGGCAAGCCCATGGCAACTGCATGGCAACGGCATGGCAACGGCATGGGAATGGCGTGGCAAGCGCATGGCAACAACATGGCAACAGCATGGCAACATCATGGCAACAGCGTAGCAACAGCATGGCAACAGCAAGGCAACGGCATGGCAAGCGCGTGGCAACAGCATGGCAACAGCTTGGCAACGGCATGGCATCAGCGCGGCCACGGCATGGCAACGTCACGGCAATAGTATGGGAGCCCCATGGCAACAGCATGGCAACTGCATGGCAAATGCATGGCAACAGCGCGGCCACGGCATGGCAACGGCATGGCAAGCGCGTGGCAACAGCAGGGCAACAGCATGAAAACAGCATGGCAGAGGCATGGCAACCGCATGGCAACTGCATGGCAACGGCATGGCAACGACACGGCAACGGCATGGCTGCGGCATGGCAACAGCATGGCAATAGCACGGCCTCGGCATGGCAACGGCCTGGCAAGCGCATGGCAACAACATGGCAACACCATGACAACAGCATGGCAACAGCACGGCCACGGCAAGGCAACGGCATGGCAAGCGCATGGCAACGGCATGGCATCAACATGGCAACATCATGGCACCGGCATGGCAACAGCACGGCCACGGCATGGCAACGGCATGGCACGCGCATGGCAACACCATGGCAACAGCACGGCCACGGCATGGCAACGGCAAGGCAACTGCGTGCCATCTGCGTGGCAGTCGCATGGCACTAGCATGGCAGCTGCGTGGCAATCGCATAGCAATAGCATGGGAGCCCCATGGCAGCAGCATGGCAACAGCATGGCAACGGCATGGCAACAGCGTGGCAACTGCACGGCCACGGCATGGCAAGCGCATGGCAAGCGCATGGCAACAACATGGCAACAGCATGGCAACAGCACGGCCACGGCATGGCAACGGCATGACAAGCGCATGGCAACGGCATGGCAACAGCATGGCACCAGCATGGCAACAGCGCGGCCACGGCATGGCAACGGCACGGCAAGCGCATGACAACGGCATGGCAACAGCACGGCCACAGCATGGCAACAGCATGGCAGCAGCATGGGAACAGCGTGGCAGCAGCGAGGCCACCGCATGGCAACTGCATGGCATCAACATGGCCACAACATGGCAGCAGCATGGCACCGGCATGGCGGCAGCACGGCAACAGCATGACATCACGGCAACGGCATGGCAACAGCATGGTATCGGCATGGCGGCAGCGAGGCCGCCGCACGGCATCAACATGGCAATGACATGGCGACAGCATGGCAACAGCACGGCCACGGCATGGCAACGGCAAGGCGAGAGCATGGCAACAGCATGGCAGCAGCATGGCAAGAGCATGGCATCAGCATGGCAGTAGCATGGACGCAGCATGACAATGGCATGGCATCAGCATGGCAACAGCATGGCAGCAGCATGGCAACGGCATGGCAGCAGCACGGCAACAGCATGGCAGAGGCATGGCAACCGCATGGCAACAGCTCGGCCACGGCATGGCAGAGGCAGGGCAAGCGCATGGCAACAGCATGGCAACCGCATAGCAACAGCATGGCAACTGCACGGCCACGACATGGCAACATCATGACAAGCGCAAGGCGACAGCATTGCAACACCATGGCAACAGCATGGCAGCAGCATGGCAACTGCACGGCCACGGCATGGCAATGGCGTGGCAAGCGCAGAGCAACATCATGGCAACGGCATGGCAACAGCATGGCAACTGCATGGCAACGGCATGGCGAGCGCATGGCAACGGCATGACGACGGCAAGGCACGCGCATGGCAACAGCATGGCAACAGCATGGCAACGGCATGGCAAACGGCATGGCAACAGCATGGCGACAGCATGGCAACAGCACGGCCAGGGCATGGCAACGGCATGGCAAGCCCATGGCAACAGCATGGCAACAGCATGGCAACGGCATGGCAATAACGTGGCAACTGCATGGCAACGGCGTGGCAAGCGCATGGCAACAACACGGCAACGGCATGGCAACATCATGGCAACAGCATGGCAACAGCGTAGCAACAGCATGGCAACAGCATGGCAACGGCATGGCAAGCGCATGGCAACGGCATGGCAACAGCATGGCAATGGCATGGCAGCAGCGCGGCCACGGCATGGCAACGGCATGGCAAGCGCATGGCAACGGCATGGCAAGCGCATGGCAACTGCATGGCAATGGCATGGCAACTGCGCGCCCACGGCATGGCAACGGCATGGCAACAGCACTGCAACAGCATGGCAAAGGCATGGCAAACGCATGGCAACTGCATGGCAACGGCATGGCGAGCGCATGGCAACGGCATGGCAACGGCATGGCTGCGGCATGGCAACATAACGGCCTCGGCATGGCAACGGCCTGGCAAGCACATGGCAACAGCACGGCAACAGCATGGCAACAGCACGGCCACGGCATGGCAACGGCATGGCAAGCGCATGGCCACGGCATGGCAACGGCATGGCAAGCGCATGGCAACGGCATGGCAACGGCATGGCAACAGCATGGCAACGGCATGGCACGCGCATGGCAACAGCATGGCAACAGCATGGCAACACCACGGCCACGGCATGGCAACGGCACGGCAACTGCGTGCCATCTGCGTGGCAGTCGCATGGCAATGGCATGGCAGCTGCGTGGCAATCGCATGGCAATAGCGTGGCAGCCCGCGGCAACAGCTCGGCAAAAGCATGGCAACAGCGCGGCTCTCACGCGACGCTAGCGTGGCAACTGCGCGGCAATCGCGCGCCAACGCAGCGGCGACGGCTGGCCATAGCACGGCAGCAGCGTGGCAGGAGCATGGCGTCGGCATGGCTGCAGCATGGCGACGCAGAGGCGCCGACTTGCGCAAGTCAGGGGGGTAATTTTTCAGGAAATTCCTGAAAAATTACCCCCCTGACTCGCGCAAGTCAGGGGGGTAATTTCTCAGGAATTTCCAAAAAAAATACCCCCCTGACTTGCGCGAGTCAGGGGGGTAATTTTTCAAGAATTTCCTGAAAAATACCCCCCTGACTTGCGCAAGTCAACGCCTTCCCGCGTGGACCTGCCCAAATCGCCCCGGGGATCGTCCAGCAAGTCGTCCCGCATTGGCACCGCGATGGATCGGCGATGGCATGGCGACGGCATGGCAACGGCATGGCAACATCATGGCAACAGCGCGGCCACGGCATGGCAACCGCATGGCAAGCGCATGGCAACGGCATGGCAACGGCATGGCAGCAGCATGGCAACGGCATGGCAACAGCAAGGCCACAGCATGGCCACGGCATGGCAACGGCATGGCAAGCGCATGGCAACGGCATGGCAACGGCATGGCAACAGCATGGCAACGGCATGGCAACAGCGTGGCAACAGCACGGCCACGGCAAGGCAACGGCATGGCAAGCGCATGGCAACAGCATGGCAGCGGCATGGCAACAGCATGGCAACGGCATGGCAACAGCATGGCAACAGCGCGGCCACGGCATGGCAACGGCATGGCAAGCGCATGGCAACGGCATGGCAACGGCATGGCAACGGCATGGCAACGGCATGGCAACAGCATGGCAACAGCCCGGCCACGGCATGGCAACGGCACGGCAAGCGCATGGCAACGACAAGGCAACGGCATGGCAGCAGCATGGCAACGGCATGGCAGCAGCATGGCAAAGGCACGGCCATGGCATGGCAACGGCATGGCAAGCGCATGGCAACGGCATGACAACGGCATGGCAACAGCATGGCAACGGCATGGCAACAGCATGGCAACAGCACGGCCACGGCATGGCGACGGCATGGCCAGCGCATGGCAACGGCGTGGCCACGGCATGGCAACAGCATGGCAACGGCATTGCAACAGCATGGCAACAGCGCGGCCACGCATTGGCAACGGCATGGCACAGCATGCCGGCATGGCAGGCATGGCAACGGCATGGCAACAGCATGGCAACAGGCAAGCGGGCAACGGCATGGCAACAGCATGGCAACGGCATGGCAACAGCATGGCGGCCACGGCATGGCAACGGCATGGCAAGCGCATGGCAACGGCATGGCAACGGCATGGCAACAGCGTGGCAACGCCATTGCAACAGCACGGCCACGGCATGGCAAGCGCATGGCAACGGCATGGCAACAGCATGGCAACGGCATGGCAACAGCATGGCA